GACCGAGATGCTCTCAAACCAGCTAATGGATGTTGTGGCTTTTGATAACATCAATTATCATGCACCAGATCCTGGACCTTGCCAATCCTCCACCTCACTGACTGTTTGCCCTTAGGAGAACAATACCTTATTAGGTGTAGTAGTGTCACAATTAATGGTTTCATAATCTGGCTCTGTCATGGTAAACAAGTAATTCCTGGTTAGAAACCACATGCAAAATGTAAGCATTAGGGCAATTGCTGCTGTTAGCTATTGCTGTCTAATTAATCATCTACAATGTACAGCATGCACCAAGTGAATTAATTGTAGTGATCTTTTGAAAAGGAAAACAGAAATACTCTAATATTTCTAAAAGTGTGATGTGAATGTGGTAATTTACCACACAGCCACACTCCAGACGTAAGTGAGGCTGTATTCATTTCTTGTCTTGTGCATCTGATTTAATTACCTTGTGGCAGTGGTATAAAAATCAGTTGGAGTGACTCATTTCTTGAAAATTTATTTTGCTTCTTCTTAAAGTCTTGGCCAGCTTGACCTCAGCAGCCTTTACCAGTTTGAAAATGCAAGTTACAATCCTCTGTAGGGATTTAGCCAGGTGTCCATTACAGCATGAAATCTGTGATACAGCTTCCAGTCTTCACACTGCAGACGATTTCAGCCCCTCTGTGTTTGTTCCTGACTGAGAAAGTCCATGAGGTCTTAATGTGGACAGGGAACACATTGAAAGGAGCAACATCTTCAATCAAACCCTGAGCCTGTGTGGGTGCCACTGAGGAGCTGCACAGGTGAGAGACCAGAGGCTTCACCTGAGCAGCAGCACTCAAACTGCAACCCTTGAACAGCAGCTGCTCCCCTGCTGACATTCAGAAGTCACACTGCTGCTGGACATCTGATTTTGACCTAAATCCTCACTCTAAGGCCACTGTGCTGTTCCTGGAGAAGCTTTTGGTAGGACACATTGCTGCCCAGGGGGAGCAAGGCCAGCCCTGGCACCCCACCCCAGCCAGGGACACTTGCACAGCACCTCCAAAACCACTGTATAAGTTCAGGCTGGCTGCCACAAAGAAACATTGCTGTGTCCTAAAACAGACTAAATCCAGCTAGTTGTGGGGAAACCTACTGGAAAACAAACTAAATCCAGCTAGTTAAGGGGAAACCTGCAGTCAGCCCTACTCAGGAGCTTGTCAGGTAACTCTCCTTTTTCCAGCCAGGGTGGAATGTGATCAAGTCGTGTGATACAGCCACATGCCCTCACTGTGCCTGCAAATCAGGTACCTCCTCCTAAAGCCAATACTTAGACTGTGCCAGTAGTTTCAGTAATACTTTCAATTCCATGAGCAGCCAAAATGAAAATAAATAGCAGCTTAATTTGCCTGCCTGCAAGGAGATATCTAATATCAATCTCCCATTGCTGTACAGGAAAATAGCGGGTTTCCTTTAGGTGGTCATGGTTGTGGTGGTGGGAAAGACTCAGCTACCTTTTATGCTAATTGGCACTAAAGTGTTTAGAAGTATTTATCAGTATTTAATTATTTAGAACTCTCCTAATGGCTTAAATATCATTTTGAAAAGTTATAAATATTTTCCACCTTGTCCTACTGAAGAGCTGCTTGTTGGAAGGCTTAAATGAAGATCTATTTACAGCTGCCTCCTAGGCACAAAATTACTTAGAGATGCTAATGCTCTGGTCCTTCAGATGGCCCCAACACAGACTGAGCTTGGCTTTCACAAACTGGACAAAGTTTGTCTTTGTTGTATTCATTTTACTGAGACAAAAGTCTTAAAGAGGATTATCATACAGATCAAGGCATTAAAATATGTAACTAATCCCAGTTAAATTAATTGTTTTCATAATAACATGTACTGAGGGACATTTGTGTAGAGTAAGACCCTTTTAGACTGTTTTGGTAATGTAAGTATGACTTACCATGCAAATTATATTTAAGATTAATTAGAAGCAGTTGAAAGCCAAGTTGCTAGCAGAGAAAATGGGAACCTGATTCCAAGCCTCTGAAGAAATAATTATGTTAAATATTTCAAAATTACATCAGCAATTGCCATGTCAGTAGACAGAGGGGAATTTACATAAACTCATAATTTCTCTCCTCCTGTTAGAATTCAGGACACTTGTTTTATTGGCTTATAATCAGCTTAGATTTTTTTTCCTCCTAATTTTCTTTTTCAAGCACTTGAACTCCACACAGGTTATTTTGGTGTCATCAAATCATTCACCTCTTAAAAGAGAATTCTGTGCCATAAAATTAAAAGAATAATTAAGTTTATTGGTGAGGATACACCTGAAGTTTTTATTAGGGTCCTCATTTGTAGTAATGTCCTTATCTCAGTGTTTCAATGGCAGGTTGTGGCACTACTTTTACAACTGGTAAGAGTTTCAGGTGCAGGACAGGACAGCACTGTGATTCTGACCTATTTCTCAAAATACTCTGCCATTAATTGGAATAGTCTCCTCTTTCCCTAAAAAGCACAGAGTTGTAGATTGCATTTCAGTTGCAAGCTAGGGCTGCCAGCTCTCAATGTCATACTGCATTCACATCAGCTTGTGGGGTGTTTTTAGAGCCCCCCTCCCAGTTATTCTCTGATTGTGTTGGCACCTCAGCTTTTGCTAAAACGTAAAAGATAAATGGCAAAGGGAGTAAAATAAATCAGCTAATATAGAGAAAGAAACATTACATCCCATACAACCTGGGTTAGCTGCTGGAAGTCATAAAAGATGCTTCCTCCAGCATCCAGGGACTAAGGGATCAGAGTGGCTTTAGGTTTTAGCACAAAGAGTCACAACAGACTCAGCGGTTGCTTGTGGAGCAGGAAGCTAAAGCCATCCCTCAGCAGTGCTTAATGCACCTGTCTGGCTGCACAGGAGCATTTATTCCTTGGATTTCAATATCTGTGACTGCCCACTGTAGTTGCTTTTGCCAAAGCAAAAGCAGAAGCATAAAGCATATGGATTAGAGGTACACAGATCTAAGTGACCAGATTTTTCTGGGCAACCTCAGAATGGGAGCTCAGACAGGTGTGATTTATGCAAACTGAGCATCTTCTGATAAACTGATATTTACATATAGCCAAAGGATCTGGAACCTTACAGATTTCACAATATGTATATTTTCCCTGAGGAAAATATGCTTGTGTAAGTTAGCAGATTCTAGCATTTGTATCTGATATATTAAATGGAGCTTAAATATTTAAAAATTCTGTGTTTTCTCTCTTCTGCTTGAAACTTACTTTTAATTTTCACTGTTTTATTCAAAAGGAAGGCATAGAAATAGCAACCATGAGCTTGAAATCAGAGCTGTAACAGGTTATAGACAAAATTTTGCAGAGTATTTCCAGTTACAGCTGGTTTTCAAATAACCCTTTTTGTTGTCATGTAGTTTTTTTTCCCTAACTTCCAGTCCCAGTGAATCGTTGTCAGTTTTAGCACTCAGCTGTATTAACAAGAAAGACAGAGAAAAAAAATAGCATTTTCCAACCCAGGTAAGAGGAAGTTGCCAGTGGGGAGGTCAGAGTGAGTGCAGAAGTTCTTTTGCTTGTGTTTTGTGGGAGTATATCAAAGAGCAGAGCAGTGGCCAAGGTGGAAACTCATGTTTGAAACCTGTTTTCCACACTGGATAGCACTGAGTCACTTCATTGCCCTCAGGCTTTGAGATGGAGAGAAGTATAACTGCAATTATAAGAAAAGAAAAGGTTGATCATCATGCCAGGGCTTGTTCTCTTTTCAGGGCAGGTGCAGGGCACTCTGAATAATGACAATAACAGCTACATTAATGACCTCATCGAGCTCTGCTAGGTGTAGGCATGTGTGTATTTTCCCCCAGCAGTGCTGACTATCAGTGAATAGAGATTTCTTCACAATCTCAGTGTCAGGTGGAGGGAAGGTTACAGAGCAGCAGTTGCTTTCTGGAACAAACACAGAATGAACAAGTAGCAAAATACTAACGTACTGTTGAAAGCTGAAATTAGATATACGTGATTCAGTGCAGCCTACAGGGTTTGATATCTTGGCAACTGCTGCAAGATATCCCCAATCTGCAGACAAAATAGCCTTTGTGAAGAAGCAGAAGATTGTAGTGTGAAAGTTAATGCATCAAAAGGCCAGAAAGAGAATAATTCACTTTCACCTTGCTTCAGAGGACAAGCAGCAGTAAAAGCTGTGCACTATTGGCAAGCTTTTTTTTGTTGCTGTTTTTAACTCAACCCTCAGTTCAGAACTCCAGCCACCTTGGCAGTGTTCCAGCTGGAGCCACTGACATCTCCCACCTAATCAAGTGCTGGATTATCTTGTCCTGATAAATTGAACCTGGTGCCTCATGAAAAGTCTTCTCTGAAGTACTTTGGTACCCCGTAATAAGATGGCAGATACCTGAATCAAGTCCCAGAGCTGACAGAACACTGTTTTTCTAATAGCTTTTGGTTGCAAGTGTAAATGTTTTAAGGCAAGGCAGTGTTGAGCTGGTTAAGCATGATGAATTTCCCACCTGGGTGAAAGGAATCTTGAAAGTGTACTGAATACTGGCTCATACTGAGTACACACAGGCTGCACTGCTAACAAAATACACTTGCCCTAAAAATTAGTACTTTTTTGGGCAGAGCTCTGAGGAACATGCTTGTTTCAAAAATATGTTCTCTTTGGTTGCTGCAGCTTTCTAAGAAGAGTTGGAGTTATTGAGCATACTGTTCTTAGTCGTTTGTGACTCAATCCCTGGTCCAAGTTATTTAGGGTAAATAAGCTTGTTTCTTTCTTTAACCTATATTAAGAAAAATGTCTACAGTACAGACACAAGGGTGCTATGTTGTGTTTGTACTTCAACAGGTAAAACAGCCAGGATTAATCTCACTAAGATAAAGTTATTACTTGCAGGCATTTGTTTTTTCTTTCTTGGCTTTCCTCCTGGAGAAAAGCAGTCCTCAGTCAAGAATCAACCTGTGTGTCACACTCTCCTCTGTGGTGCCCCTTGTAACACTGCTTTGCTCTTTTCCAGGGGAATCCCTACATGTGCAATAATGAATGTGATGCAAGTACCCAAGAACTGGCTCATCCTCCAGAACTGATGTTCGATCTGGAAGGAAGACATCCCTCCACATTCTGGCAGTCCACAACTTGGAAGGACTATCCGAAGCCTCTTCATGTTAATATTACACTCTCCTGGAACAAAACCATTGAGCTTACGGATAACATAGTTATCACCTTTGAATCTGGCCGTCCAGACCAAATGATCCTGGAGAAATCACTCGACTATGGACGAACGTGGCAGCCCTACCAATACTATGCCACAGACTGCTTAGATGCTTTTCACATGGATCCAAAATCAGTGAGGGATTTATCACAGCACACAGTCCTAGAAATCATTTGCACAGAGGAATACTCTACTGGGTACATGACAAATAGCAAAATAATCCACTTCGAAATCAAAGATAGATTTGCTTTTTTTGCTGGACCTCGGCTTCATAACATGGCTTCTCTTTACGGCCAGCTTGACACCACCAAGAAGTTAAGAGATTTCTTTACCATCACAGATCTGAGGATAAGACTGCTTAGGCCAGCAACTGGTGAAATATATGTAGATGAGCAACACCTGGCACGCTACTTTTATGCAATCTCAGACATAAGGGTATACGGAAGGTAAGAGAATATATAACTTTAGAAACAGGCATGTGTGTTTGATTTGAGAAGGTATTCAAAAGTGTTTATTTCCCCAAAGAAGATGACATTTTCTGCCAGTGTTCATTGGAAATCTGGCTCGGCTGAAGGCCATTGCTGTCATACCAGAAGTTTCTGACTCAGTGGCACAAGGTCTGGGTATTTGCTGGCACTCACCTTGGATATTGAGCCCTAGGTCTCACAGGCAGGACAGTTCATGTGTTGGCTCAGGAATTCACCCTAGCAGTCGAACACTTTCTTCTCTTTTGTAGTTGCAGTCTGATCCAGTGGCAGTTAACTAAAAACAGAGATTCTGTTTTATCATTTGACCTTTCCAGGCCTCTAATGTAAGCTGTGATTGATACAGCAACCCTTGCACAAACCCCTCCCGCTAGGTCTGGCTGTGAGCAAGGAAAGCAGCAGAGATTACAGCCCATTCCTTCTACTTTAATTAGCTCTGAAATGCAGAGAAGCTGAATTAAAATGGAAAAAACCCAACAGTGTTTTAGATAGACTGATTTGAATATAACAAAGATGATTATTCAGCTGCGTTCAAGACAAATGGTTCCCTCTAGGGCAAGTGGTGGCTGGTATCAAGTGCTGTAGTCCCAAAAATAATAACTGCAGTGACATTCCTATCAGGAAATTTTGTTCCCAGCTCAAACTAGCAATTGACTGATGCCCTCAAGCAGGAGGGTGATCCCTTTGTACAGGTCTTGGATGCCAAGCTGTTCAGAGGAAATAAGTGGGATCACCTCTATTAGCAATTCACTTGCCAGTCTAATATACCTTTTGTTCTGTTTCTCCTATACAGGGTTTAAGACTTCCTTCTTAAAAAAAAAACTTTCTTCTCTAAGAGAATCTAAGTATCAAAACAAACAGAAAAGCTAATATATCTTGGAAGGCCAGGGACTTTCTTTGCAGACTCAGAACTGAGTGAAAAAAATAGTGATTATATAAAACAGTTCTGACTATATTTTTATTATTCCTGTAGTGAAAATCAGAATTATCAAAATGCATTTCTTAGGACTGGAGGTTTAACATGCAGTTACAGTCTTCTGTGTCCACATCAACTATATATCTATACATAATTACTAGTCTAACATTTGAAAATCTAAAATAAATGTTGCTGTTTTAAGAATTCTTCTTGCAATGCTCATTAGTTACATTGTAAATTATTTTTCAGAAGTCTCTTGGGAGGGATAAGTAGATCATGAACAGCTTAAGATACTGTCTGAAATAGTTTGGTAAAATTAGCCTCAATATAAAAAAGTAACACCTATTTAATGTCTATGTTTTCTCCACTGGGCTCTCCCACATAGGTTAGCTCTACTGAGGCATCATATCAAAGCTCAGGATTTGGTCCTGAGGCTTTAAGGAAAGCCTGTTCCCTGTCTGAAAATCCATTTGGAGCTTAGTCTGACTTCAATTAGATTATCATTACTTTATCAAAGAAAGCATCAGTAGGATTAAAAAAGAGTGCATTGCATGCAAATTAGAAACAGAAACCTTCTGAGCACATCTGGGGCTCACCAATCTTGTGAAAAATTATCTGTAGAAATGAAGTGTGACCGTACAGAGAACTTATCTGATGCTGATGCTTGTTGTCTAAATGCTGCAGTAATTGGACATGTGCTTTAAAAGAAGTATCTGATGTGTAATAGGACCTCACTAGATTAGATTCATGTGAATTCTTATCACTTTTCTGCTAATGAGAAGAGCAGCTCTTTTGGGATTTGGTGCCATTTCCTTCAGTATCTAGTGAGCCCTCCTTGTGAAAATCTTAAGGGTGTGCTTGCTGCTGAGCAGCTGTGGGGCTGCAGTACACAGCCCCTGGTTGTTTAGTCACACCAGTTGTAACTTGCAATAAGCCCACTGTTACCTCGTTCTAAGTATTTTTTGTCTCTTCTCCCCACCACAGTCTCCCAATCAGCATTCCCAGCATGTGCCCTGGCATGGCCTGAGCATGGGAACCAGTGGAGGGAAGCAAGGGTTACCAGGGTACTTGTGCCACTGTTTCCAGTTCAGCTAAGCTTTCCAGCTCTTGCTCCTTAACTGGAAATTCTTACAATTTTTTTTAATTTTTTTTTTTTTTTGCTTCCAAGACTCATATTCTGGGCTTTGAGACCCAGCTATTTATATAAATTTGGTAAGACTGGACTAGATTATTTCATGAAGACAGGATACAAAGGGAGGCTACCAAGGAGCTTGACATGTAGTGGATGAGGGATGCTGGCAGTCACTTTAAAGCCAGTCCTTTTTCTGAAAAACATAACCTGTAGGTCAAGTATAGTTAAAATCACCAAAGCTCATAATAGCATATTTCTAAAGGCAGCATAAAATGTAATTTCACATAAAATTCACACTGTGTTTTAAGCATCAATGACAGTGAAAAGCCTCTATCTTAAAGCCACTATGTTAAATATACAGGACTATGTGGTGGTTAATACTTCACAATGAATTATAGACAGGAGACTTGCCCACTTAATATAGGTTTGTTTTGTCATTGCTTTGCATTTTGGTGTGAAATAAGGCTGATGTATGTTGCATTAGAGATGAAAACCTTTCCTGCTCTATTACCACCTGTTTATTCTTCTTCAATTTACCACTTCCATTGTGTATTTATTAAGGTGATGAAAAAATGGAAACATGGCTGTTAGCAATTTCAGCAACCCCATTGTGCTCCCATTATTCAAGAAACCTAATAATCCACATGAACTAATTCTGACTTACTGATGGTCTGCTTCACTAAATCAGGGTGATTTTTTCTAGTGAATAATGGACGATGCAGTGTGCCAGTACCTTAATTAAAGAGAGCCTCTCTTATTCTTGATCTTATTTTAATTTACAGGGTAATACTACAATAATATCACTAATGGAAGGTACATTAAAGGGCATAAAGTAGCATTAACTGTATTAAATTATGGCACTTGTGTTAATTAACTGCTGAAGCAAGATGGTCCTAACAGCTAGAAAGGTCAACTAATGCATAAATAAAGTCTTCTGGGATGGGCAGCTAAGAAAGAGCAGACATCTTCCCCTCATCTGGCCTTGCTGCAGAGGATCAGAGGATGTCCTGTGCCGCAGCCTCAGGAAGGGTTCTTTCACTGTGCTGCCTTGCAGAGGTGGCCTGACCTGTCTGCAGGCTCTACCTGTGCTCAATTCCACATGAAGGACAGTCCTGGCAGTAAGCAGTGAGGTACAGCTCCCAGTTTTAAACCTATTTTTGTAGAAGTTCACTAAAATGCTGATAATAATTCCTTTGAAGTCAAGCTCAAGGTTCCTGGCAGATTTTGGATCAGACTGCTGAAGGTTTAACCATGTTAATTTTAAAGTATTTTTGCTCTAACTGTTATATTGTCAGTGACACGTACATTTATACACTGTAAATTAACTGTAATTCGGGATGCTTGTAAAAACCATGGTCCCAGTGGGTAACAGAATGACTGGCTGGGTAAAACAAAAGCTCTTATTGCTTTTGAATGATTAGGTTTTGATCTAAGAGCCACGAGTTTCTTTCTGACACGAGAATATCCAGTCTCTGCACAATGTTATTAAGCCCTCTGGAATTTATTTTTGTACTCTTCTCGCCTTGAAGCTTCTGTATTTAAGCCCCAGGGTTTTCTGACCGCATCTCAGCTGCGCTTCAGTCCCAGCTGCAATAGAAACCTCTAACTCACAATACACAAATGAAAGGTAACCTCAGTTTTAGCAGTTCCTTGCTCTCACATTATCTATTCTAAATTCAAATCCATCTCAGCATCTGAATAAATTAATCTGAAGGAAAATATCTTTGCTACTTAGGGGCTTGGGGCTTTTTTGTCTCCTTGGTCAGCCCGCTGCTCCTGGTAGCTGTGAGGCTGAACTGCTCCCGAGGCTGTGGTGGATGTGGGGTGGGTGAGGACCCGTGCCCTGAGTGGGAGCTCACCTTGCAGCTTCGGGCAGGAGGTTCCACCTGGCAGGCTGGGCTCTACAGGGTCCCACCCTCTGGTTTATTCTGCAGATGCAGTCTGTGGATGGATTTATTGGAGTAAATCTCTATGTTCTCTGTCACACACTTGGCAGCACTGTATGATACTGTCCCTCTGTTATTTACCCAAAAGCAGAACTTAGCCCTAGGGAAGTTATAATCTATACAAATGCTGTAGTTTTATTTATAATAGATAATGTTTTAATTGATGTTCAGCTCAGAACCAGACCATCAATATTAAGATATGTAAGCTTCAAGCTTTTAAGGAGATGACTGAATACCATTCTTGACTCTAGTATTTATTTGCCATACTTGAATACTCTTTGTTTTACAGGAACACTTGCATAAGCAGCTTTTCTCCTTTGAGATTTTCACTAGTATTTGGAGGGAATGTAGCAGTTTCTCTGATTAAATTATAAACTCATTAGAGAACAGGAAAGAAAAAGAAACATGTATTTAAGAGCATGTCAATTGATCTGTAAGTCCCAAGGGCAATTTTTGCTTTTTTAATATATCTACTGTAATACGTCACTAAGGAAAATGGTCCTTCGCTTTCTGTAAGCAAATCTAGGGTCATCAGGAGCTGAAATAAATGGTCATGGTCTTTATTCACACATGAGCATTCTCTAGGGGTTTACTCAGTACAGGTGTTCTGGGTGGATTTTACTCCTGCCTGTGTTCAGATAATACTGATTTCTACCCTCCATCCTGATGGCACAAGTCCTGTCCATCAGCTCAGTGTGGCCTCAGTCACAGTGGCTGGAAGGGGAGCAGAGCAGTGGAGGCTGAATGTTGTCTAAGACCCTCATTCAAAATACATATGCTTTTGAAATCAGTGGGTTTAAATCCCCAGGATTCACTCACCACCTTTGCTCATTAGCATCTGGTCATCTTTTCTTTTTTTGCAAGACATCAAGCATTTCCCTACTGATCTCCCCCAGCTGTCTTTCAAGAAAGCTCAGTATCATGCAGGATCAGGGTTATTGAGGAGAGGCACCAAGCCTTTTTGTAG